TCGATCTTACTCTAACATTGAACGAGAGCTGCTCAGTGTTGTTTTGGCTCTTGAAAGATTTCATCATTATGTGTATGGATACACAGCGACGGTCCAAACAGATCACAAACCATTGGTCAGCGTGTAACTCTAGTAGTAGTGTGTAACTCACCACGCCTTCAGAGGCTATTGCTGAGACTTATCTCAGTATGACGTAAACATTGAATACCTGAAAGGGAAGGATAATGTCGTAGCTGACGCACTGTCCAGAGTATCTCCTCAGCCAACACCTGAAGAAGAAGACGAGGAAGATTTCATTCCAGTTCACATGCTCACAGAGGAAATCCCCACCGATTCTACGAGAGTTGGAGATTTCAGACACGCAACTGTAGAAGACACTATTTTCGGCTTACTGATGCAAGTGGTAGCAAATGGATGGCCTGAATTAAAGAAAGATTGCCACCCACTTCTTGTAGGCTACTAGAGCTACAGAGAAGAGATCAGCGCTGAGAATGGTCTATTGTTCAAAGGCCATCGACTCATAGTTCCTGAGAAATTGCGTAGCAGAGTCCTCCAAACCATCCACGAGGGTCATTTTGGTTTTGAGAAGATGCAACTAAGAGCCCGATAAGCAGTATTCTGGCCAGGAATAACCTCAGATTTACTACAGGCAGCACAAGGTTGTGAGGTGTGCCAGACGTTCTAGAGGAGCCAACAACGCGAGACAATGTTGCCCCATGAAGTTCCTCTAGGACCTTGGGAGAAGTTAGGAATTGATTTCTTCGAGTTTCAGTCTATTACCTACCTCCTGATAGCAGACTACTACTGTAGGTTTCCCGTGATTCGGAAGGTACGCAGCACTAATGCGAACACTACCACCGAGATTTTGAAGCAAGTGTTTAGCGAATATGAAGTACCTCAAACCCTTATGACAGACAACGGTCCCCCGTTCTCGTCGAAGGAATTTGCAGCCTTTGCAAACCAATACCGCTTTGACCACATCACGTCTAGCCCTCGTTACCCGCAGAGTAATGGTTTTATCGAACGTATGGTGCAGACGGTCAAGCAGTGCATGAGAAAATGTGCAGCCGCAGGACATGATCCAAACTTAGCTATGTTGGTCTATAGAGCCACACCCCTTACTACCAGCATACCGTCACCTGCAGAGCTATTGAATGGACGAAATAT